AGAAGTTTAAAACACGTATATCTGGGATGGTTTAAACAGAGAATGAAGACAGAAAATTTGCTGGGAAGGAGTGTTGATTCAGCCACTTGCAAACTCAGCTTTTTCTATGGAGGATGAACAAAGTTGTGCTGAAGTCTGACACTCATCTCTGCCAACCTGGGATACTGATTCAAAACGCTTGGATGTTTGCAGGGAGAAAGAGAAGGAAATGTTTTCATAGAATTATAGAATCAAAAACAAAAAGACATTCCTTGCTCTGTACATAGGAATCATGTAGGATCCAATATCGACAAAAGCATGAGTCACATATTCTACATGCAGTACGGAGCTTATAAGTGGGCAGTGAAGTACAGTTGCTGGAGCGTGAGTCATCAGCTTCATGTGAGTGGGCAGTCAAATCCTGCATAAGCTGATTTTTCGGAGATATATCTATGAGTATTTTGAAGTATAGTACATGGCAGGCATGTCCAACTCACAGCCTGCATGCAGCCCAGCACAACTTACAATGCAGCGTGCTCCTGCCCCACACCATTGTGGAGGCAGCACACATATACCAGCAATGATCAGACACTGGTGTGCTACTAACCAGGACAAGGAGAGGGAAAAGTGCAGTGCTAACTCAAGTTATGGAAAATAATTTAATGCATTTTGATTCACTGGCTAAACACAGTCCTCTGAAGAGCAACAAATATGCAGCCTTGCTTTCCATTGTGATAAAAGAATTTGAGAACCAGCTTGAAGATTGCAAAATATATATATATATATATGTATTTTTGGTCTATTTGTCACTCCATTTTCTGTTGGAATAAATGCATGACCTGCAAATTTTCAAGTGGAATTTATAGAGTTGCTATCAGACATTCAGCTCAAAAATCTGATCATGTCTCCCTATGGGGCTTTCAAAAGACCTATCTTAGCAGAGAGAAATATTCCTCATTTCACAGTCACACTTTATTCATGCCAGTATTCCATTACATTTTGTGGCTGTGTGACAGATGGCAGCAGAGGGGCAGTCTGACAGAATGGCGCCTGACATGAAAGAATGTATGAAGTAAAGGCGTGTCACTGAATTCCTCCATGCAGAAAATATGGCACCCACTGACATTCATCAATGCTTGCTGAATGTTTATGGAGACCAAACAGCGGATGTGAGCACAGTCAGGCAGTGGGTGGTGTGTTTCAGCACTGGCAACAGCAGGTCACCTCCTCACCTCCACTGGTGCAGGCTTTTATGAGGACAGCATACAGGCTCCTGTTCATTGCTTATGAAAATGGAGAGCTAATGGTGATGACTACATTGAAAAAGGTGTTTTATAGCTGAGAATTTACTCTATCAGTGATACTGTGTTTATTATATCTGTTGCAGTTTCCACGGAAATGAATAAGAGACATCAATCACTTTTGGAGTGACCTACATATATGCAGCCCCAGACAATTCCTCTTCACTCAGTGTGGCCTGGACAAGCTAAAAGGTTGGACACCCATGGTCTATGGCACAAGCAAATTATTTTGGTTTTGTCTGCACTTGCTGTGGCATACACTTTAGTCAAGGCCCCACATTATTAGGCATGAAACATCCTACAAGTTTTATTTTCTGTCATTCTGGCTTTGATGTACTTGTCTAGGAAAGCCACATCACCTTGTTCTCTGTAAGCAACTTCCATGTCTTTTACACTCTAGTAGAAAGATGGAAGTGAATGGAAATAGCAAACGATACATAAGCTGAAGTGTTTCTTCTGTGGTTAGAGCTGCTTTGGCATCAAACTATAGTTCTGGTGAGTTTTGAATTTCAAAGTACGCATTTTCCTTTTCACTAACTCTCTTTCTAGTGTCATTTGATGATGGAAAATAATTGCACCCCTCTGTCTCACTGATCCAAAACTTCACTTGCAGCTGTAGGAATTCAGCTACTTTCTAAGACAGCCAAAAACTCCATCTAAGCCTCACAACATCTATGTCCTACTTAGTCCTTAAACTTCAGGCTTCTTATGGGCCAGGTACTCTGTCCATCTTCAAAGGGACTGGAGAGGAAGATGGGGCCTAGCTTTCTCTCAGTTTTCTCTGGACCTTAGCCATTAGAATACAATCTTGCCCACATGTGGACAGTGATAGGACAAGGACAAATGGGTAGACAGGGGAGGTTTAGGTTAGATAGTAGGAGGAAGTTTTTCACCCAGAGGGTGGTGACACACTGGAACAGGTTGCCCAAGGAGGCTGTGGATGCCCCATCTCTGGAGGCATTCAATGCCAGGCGGGATGTGGCTCTGGGCAGCCTGGTCTGGTGGTTGGTGACCCTGCACGTAGCAGGGGGGTTGAAACTAGATGATCATTATAGTTCTTTTCAATCCAGGCCATTCTATACTTCTATCATTCTACGTGTGCCTCTTCCTTATGGACATGGTCACATACCCAGTTTTAAGAGGTGGATAACCAGCTCAAGTTGGACAGCATAAGAACTCTTTGGGCTGCTACTCAGACTTAACATCCCCTAAAGAAACAGCCTTGCTGCTGATGTCTCAAAGAGCAGCCTGAGAAGCATGATGCTTGCTACAGAGATGAAGTTCTCCAAGTGAGGAGGCTGCATTTAAAAGCTACTGGAACAAAGATTTTTTCAAGTTTTAGCATAAAGGCTAGTACCCAGAGCAACCCTCATCCAACAAAAAACTATGCCAAACCAAAACATGAAGACCACCACAGAAAGCACACTGATTGCAAGGTAGAGCAGTCATAATCTGAAACATTCTGAATGCGGAACTGCTGTGGGTACTCCTCCCTGGGGCTAGATCATGCTCCATCCCTGTAAGTGCTGAAAGCCAGGGTGGATGGGGCCCTGGGCAACCTTGGCTAGTGAGAAGTGTCCTATCCATGGCAGGCTGGAATCAGATCACAAAATCACAGAATGCAGGAATTGGAAGGGACCTCTAAGGATTGCTGAGTCCAACCTCCTGCTAAAGCAGGTTCCCTAGAGTAGGTCAGACAGTAAAGTGTCCAAGCAAGTTTTGAATACCTCCAGAGAAAGAAATTCCACAGCCTTCCTGGGCAGCCTGTGCCAGCATGCTGCCAACCTCACATGAAAGATTTTTCTCATGTTTATATAGAACTTCTATGCTAGTTCGTACACATTGCCCCTTGCTCTGCCACTGGGCACCACTGAAAAGAGCCCAGCCCCATCTACTTGACTCCTGCCCTAGATATTCATAAGCATTGATAAGATGCCCTCTCAGTCTTCTCCACACTCAAGAGCGCTTGGTCTCTGTGGAAAGTGAAAGTGTTGTTTCTGAATTGAACATTGAAAAGGGCAAACAATCTAAAAAATTAAGCAGTAACATATCCTTAGAAATAGCTGATTTGGAAAGTAAGAATACCATATACATTTTAGTAACATATTTTAAAACATAGTTACTGGATTACCTAACAAATTCTTTCTCACAAAGCTGCAATAGATTTTAAATGTTCTAAACAATGTGGGTATAGTATTCTGAACTAAGAAACATATTGTAAGGTTGTTCATTAGACCAACAGAAGCGATATACATTTAACAGACTTTCAAGGAGTCAGGGTCTTTACACAAAGCAAAACTGTGGGAATGTTAGGATGCCATAGGCGGGCACCAAGATACTCCCCTCTATCCTCCTTCCGAGCTTATTTCTACGCAAGGATAGATGAATGACCAGAACAATGACCCAGTGTAAAAGGGGTACAAATGTTAGGGGAGTAATTAAACAATTAAGAGGCTATGTTTATGTTGCAAAACAGACATCCAACCAAACGTTTGTTAAGAAAGTAATTACTAGAAGGCAATCAACCAATTAAGATATTTGTGTTTGGAAGGCAAGGATTTGTGTGTACTTGCTATTTGTATGATTAGTGAAGCGTCAGGAAAGAGTGTGAACTACAGTACTCAGCCAGTGAGGAGCCAGGGGAGAAAGAGATCAGCATCGGGCAGTAGGGGATAAAAGACATAGCACTGTTTTCTCTGGGCTCTCCTGCTTGCAGGAAGCCTGCCATTGCAATTGCGAATAAAATCTGCTTTATCAGAGAAACCGTCCTAGAAAATTATTTGGATATTTGCAACAGTCTCTCAGCCTTTCCGTGCATGGGAGATGCTGCAGGCCCTTAAATGCTTTTGTGGCCTTCCTCTGGACTCTCTTAAGGAGATCCCCATCTTTCTTGAACTGGAGAGCCCAGAACTGGACACATTATTCTCAATGTGGCTTCAGCAGGGTAGAGTGGGAGGACCACCTCCCTCATCCTGCTGGCCACACTTAATGCATACTTGGATCTCATTGGCCTTCTGGCCCAAGGCACACTTTTAACTCATGGCCAACCTATTGACCATCTGGTTACCCAGATTCTTCTCCACAGAGCTCCTCTCTACCAGGTCAGCCCCTGAACCGTACTGATGCATGCATAAAGTTGGCCTTTGAAGTCCCTTTCAACCCAACCCACTCCATATGGGACATGGTATCCATCAGTGCACAAGGACCCATCTCTCCCCTAAACTCCCAGGGACACCTGAGGGAGCAGAGTCAAACCCACAGCAGCCAAATCTGCCCCTTCCCATTTCCAAGCACCCCACACACAGCCCGTTCCTCAGGCAGTCTCTTTGTTTCCCCTCTACTCGCACTCCACACCGCTCCCCGACTTTCTGGGGCTGTAAGGCAGGGAGCGGACCACGATGCTTTTCCAGGTGGGGGGAAGACGAGCAGTCTGCTGGGGCAGAGCAGGGCAGGGCAGCGCCGAGCCTCAGCGCTCCGGTCCCGCACCGCAGGTCGGGGACGAGGCTCTAGGGACCCCGAACCCGCCCGGGGGCGGTCGCTGCGCGCTCCGCTCGGGACAAAGCGCCGGGGCCCCACGGGGAGCTCGACGAGTCCCGTCCGCAGCGCACGCCCCGGCGGCCGGAAGACAGGGCGGGGGGTGAGGGGTGGGGAGAGGGGAGGACCGGCCCGGCCCGGCTGAAAAGGAGGGCTCGCTCGCCCGTCGCCCCCACCGCCGGCATCCCGCGAGCCCCGCCGGCGTTGCTCGTGGTGGGGGCGGCGGGCAGAGCACCATGGCCGTGTCGTGGAGGAGCTGGCTGGCTAATGAGGGGAGCAAGCACCTCTTTCTGGTAGGGCGCTGCCTCGGGGTTGGGGACGGGGGCGCGCAGCCCCGCGCTGAGGGGCGCCGCTTCCCGCCCGCGCGCGAGGTGGACCCGGCGCCGGGTGGGCGGGCGCACGGCGCTGCGTGTCCGGGCGCGGGCAGCGGGTGCTCTTTGTTAGCGCTTGTGGGCAAAGTTTGGGGGAGAAGAGGGGTCCGCAGGTCCTGCTCCTCCTGCTTTTGTCTCGGTTTTTGTGCTTTGATCCTGGAGCTGCGTTTCGTGCTTCGCCCTCACTTGTTAAACTTTACTTCTGTGTTTTCGGTGTCAGTGGAAACGTCTCACCTAAAGGCTGTCCTTTCGCATGCGTTGCTATTAAAATACTTTTGCTAGCTGCTGTAAGCTTGTTTTCCATTTAAAAATCATTATGAAAGTACACGCATGTGACTTACAAACAGAATTAATACAGCAGTCTGTACATATAACTTCCAGACTCTCTTTTCTTTTGATTTTAGTTTTTCTGGCTCTCACTGAACGTGTGGTTCTTCTGGAAGACCTTCCTGCTGTACTGCCGAGGGTTGCAGTATTACTATCTGCATCAGATGTTAGGGGTGAGTCACCTGGACACTGAGTTTTGCTCTGGAAATGGGGATTGTGGGAGGAAGGAAAGGGACAGAAAGCATTTGCAATGACAAGGAATGCCTGCAAGCCCTCTAAATTTGGGGAAGATCATGTAGGAGATTACTGCAAGACTGCTAACAATGACTTAGCATTAGAAAATTGCCATTGCTGAGAAGAGCCACTTAAGTGTAGGACAGCAGTCCTTCCTTCTCCATCCTGCCTGCTGCTGGCAGGCTCAAAGGAACGCAAACATGCAGAACAGACTGGAGCCAAACCTCTTGTCATCAAAGCATTAGTCAAACTGATAGACACGTGCTCTTTTTCATCCCAATTTGCTTCAGGATCTCTTGATAAGTTTTGGTTCTTTTCAATCTCAGGTTGTAATGCACTTAGGTTCAGTATAAATCACTACAATTATATACATTTTGGTTTTGTTTTTTTTTTGTGAAAACAGCATATTGGAAGGTGAGTGATCTACTGAAGACTCAACTGTTGACTATAACATCCACCACCACCAAAAGAGCTCAAATAGTTACTTTCTGGGAAGTGAGATAGGGATCGGTTCTAAATCCACAGTTATGCAGTCACGGTTGCTTGGAATGACTTGTATCCAAAGAGGTAGATTTGGAGATAACAATTTTCTGAAGAAGTCTGTAGAGTGGCTGAGATTTTTAGAATCCGGGTACAAGTGAATGAATAATGCTATGCTTTTTGACACAGTGGACTTGAATGGTAAGCTGACCTGGGGCAAAAGCAGAGATGATGCATGTCCTAACCTGCGTGCATCATCTCTGTTTTATCTTTGGTAGATCCAGGATATATATGGTTGACAGTATTGCCAGAACTAGCTAGTTCCACAGATCCTTGTGAAACTAGCTTGAAAATGAGCTGATGTGGTGATTATACTTGTCTGGTTTTTTAATTCCTACTGACTCAGTTGTGTTCAGGAAAATAATCTTTTGCATAGGTAGTGGAAAAACATGGGAAATTAAATGTTTGCATATTTTACAACGATGGCTTTTTTACGAGGAAAAAAGCAGTAAACATGTTTAATTTTACTATTATTTCTAATGGCTTTGCAGCCCAGTGCATCCATTTGAAAGTAGTTTGGTTCCTGGCAGAGCAAGTGTGTTGTTTATAAAGCAAATGTTGTTGGGTCAACATGTTGGGTCAGATTGTCAGCTAATATCAATCAGCAGAGTTCCTCTCAATTCAGAAGACTCGTCTGCCTTGTGCCAGCTCATCTTCTGTCCTTTTTTTGGTTCTCTTTTGCTTCAGAATGAGCCAGTTAATAGACTGCATTTGGACCTGTGTGTGCAGTACCTATGAGATGACTCAAGCCACAGTTTGATCGTCTTGGTTAGGAAATGAGGACCAGGAGGCCATGTGGTTAGTTTGACTAACACAGTGTCTTCAACTGTTGGTATTTTGAGAGCTTTAAAAATGAAGAGGAAAGTAAAGATCTAAGTCTGAAAGATGCTTTTGGTCAAAACACCAAAACTAATTTAGAAACTTGGGAAACATTAAACACTGTAAAGCATTCCCACAATTCAGTTACTTATAGTTTGTCTAGATATCACTTCTAGATGCCAAAGTTAGTTTTTCTCCTTTATCTTCTAATATATTTGTATGTGTGTATAAATCATACCGATTGTTTTTAGAGTTGTAAAAAGTTGAGCCCAATTTTAGCCTCTTTAGGAATCAGAGTGAGCACTGCTGTACTACAGTTGCTGTGAACATCCCATGTGGATTTTTGCTCCTGTACCTTCTGTACATCAGTTTGCACAGCCACTTGCCATCTCTTGGTCCATCTCTATAACCATCCTCACTTCTCCTCCACACATGGGTGAGTGGCTTGCATTTTTCTTAATTGAAAAAACAAAGATCTCTTGTCTTTGTGAGGTCTACTCAGGAGTTATTTTCTCCTCTTGTACACCATGTTGAAGTAAAATCTTCTTAAGAGTATTCTCCCTTGCAGCACTGAAAAATTTATCACATGTTATGTTATTGTTTTCCAAGTAACAGGATGGAGAACAAGAATTGCTGTAGAAAAGGAGATAACCATATGAAATGGTTTTAGACTTGAATATCCAAAATATATTCAACTTGCCTTGCTTTTACACTATTACTTTTCCATGTGAAGAATGAGGTTATTCTTCCCTTCAGTTATCACTGAAATGGTTCACTTTCCATCAGCCTTCAGCAGAAGAGGGAAGCTCAGTTTTGTTCTGTTTGTACCTTCTGTCACTTCAAACAAGATGCTTAGCATGGGATTTTAAAGTTATTTAGTTACTGAACTCTTACTCAGGTAAGTCTCTGAATGTGTCTGATGCCATTCAGTGTCTGCAAAAAGGCAGTAATAGCACAGTGGTGTCCTGGGAGTGCAAAGATAGGTCAGAAACAGTGGTGTGGTTGGGAAGAGCACATCATTTTACACTACAAAATTTTGTGTGTAGATTTACGTTACATCAGACGTTACCACTTTGCTGAGTTTGAATCTTGATGAAGAGGCCATGAACTATTGTGGAATCTCTATCCCTTGAGGTTTTCATAGAGTCATTCAGGTTGGAAAAGAACTACAAGATCATGAAGTCCAAACATTGACCTGACTTACTGAGTCCAATTACTAAATCGTGTTCCTTAGTGCCGTGAAAACAAATTGGGCAGAACTCCAAGCTTAGTTTGAATTTCATGTTGAACTTGCTTGAAGTAGGAGGTTGGAAAAGATACTTCCCAAGGTCCCTTCTGATCTGACTAATTCTGTGATTATATGATTCTTGCAGGATAAATTAAATTAGAACCTATTGGATGTGAAGACCTTCCCCAGTACTTCTGTCATGATGAACTGCCTCTTTCGATAACTGCTTGTAGCACTGCTGATCATAATCTTGTCTTACAAATAGTTCAGGGCTGCATGTTCAGGAATATGATACAGATAAAGAAACTCAAATTTTTATAATTTAGTAAGTGCCAACTTTTGACATTATGTAGCCTAAAGAAAAGAGTGGGAAGGTATGAAACAGGCACTGATTAAATTTAAGAGTGTAGGAAAGAGGAAAGGAGTATTCTCATCTCTGTATGAGAGACACTACAAGACATAGTAAATGTAAGTTACAGAAAGGAGGATTCATGGATTACTTGATGTAACTTCAGTGTTTTAATTGTTGGAGATCTTATGTCTCCTTGATCAGGTAAATTGTCCAGATGATTTATTTCCTTTCAGACTTCCACATTTCTCCCTTCTCTCTAGCTACAGAGGTCTTTTTTGAAACAAGTTTGCTTGCATCTGACCAACAAATTTTATCCAGTATTCACAGTTGGCTTTATCATAGAGCTTAAATCTTGCTTTTGACATCATTGAACAAAATACCTGTGTCTGGTTGCTTGGCTTAATTGTATGCATCAGTACAGGATAGGGGCTGACATGCTAGAGAGGAGCTCTGCCAAGAAGAATCTGGGTATCCTGATCCTCCCCTTCCACTCTGCCCTGGTGAGGCCACGTTGAGAATACTTTGTCCAGTTCTGGGCTCCCTGGTTCAAGAAGGACAAGGATCTCCTCAAGAGAGTCCAGTGGAGGGCCAAAAAGACAATCAGGGGCCTGCAGCATCTCCCAGGAAGGGAAAGGCTGAGAGACCTGGGACTCTTGGGTCTGGAAAAGACTGAGAGGCTGGAGAAGTGGGTCCATGAGAACCTAATGAGGTTCAGTAAGGCCAAGTGCAGGTGCTATGCTTGGGTTGGGGCAATCTCAGGCATATATGCAAACTGGGGGAAGATCTCCTTGAGAGCAGCCCTGTGGAGAAGGACTTGGGGGTCCTGGTGGATGAGAAGCTGGACGTAAACCAGCAGTGTGCACTTGCAGCCCAGAAGGCCAGCTGTGTTCTGGGCTGCATTAAAAAAGGGGTGGCCAGCAGGGACAGGGAGGTGATTGTGCCCCTCTGCTCAGCTCTTGTGAGGCCCCATCTGCAGCACTGCGTCCAGGGCTGGGGCCCCCAGTACAGGAAGGACGTGGAGCTCTTGGAGTGGGTCTAGAGGAGGGCACTGAGATGATCAGAGGGCTGGAGCACCTCTCCTATGAGGAGAACTGGGCTTGAAGAGGAGAAGGCTCTGGGGAGGCTTCATTGTGGCCTTCCAGTACTTGAAAGGAGCATATGAACAGGAGGGGGAACAGCTGTTTATAGTGGATAGTGGTAGGACAAGAGGGTATAATTTTAAACTGAGACAGGGAAGGTTTAGGTTAGATATTAGGAGGAAGTTTTTCACCCAGAGAGTGGTGGCACACTGGAACAGGCTACCCAAGGAGGCTGTGGATGCCCCATCCCTGGAGGCATTCAAGGCCAGGCGGGATGTGGCTCTGGGCAGCCTGGTCTGGTGGCTAGTGACCCTGCACATAGCAGAGGTTGAAACCAGATGATCATTGTGGTCCTTTTCAACTCAGGCCATTCTATGATTCTGTGATTCTATGAGAGGGTATCTTACTAATGCTTATGAATATCTAATGGGCAGAAGTCAAGTAGATGGGGCTGGGTTCTTTTCCGTGGTGCCTGGTGACAGAGCAACGGGCAACAGGTGCTAACTAGAGCATAGGAAGCTCTACACATACATGAGGAAAATTTTTCCTGAGGTTGGCAGAGCACTGGCACAGGCTGCCCAGGGGGGTCATGCAGTCTGACCTGCCAGGCAACCTGCTTTAGCAGGGCATTGGTCTTGTTGTTCTCCAGAGTTCCTTTTGACCCCTGTGATCCTGTGACTTCTTTGTGAATAGAAACAGCGCTGGACTTATTTTCTCATGGCAAACTCTTTCCCTTTTCCCTCACTAGTCCGTGCTCAAATAATTTGAATGTATCAGATGTTTGTTAATATGATAAGCTTTGGGATTTCACAATAAAGGAAGAAAATGCATTCTCAGAAGGATCTCTTCAAGAATGGATTAAATCGGAGGATGTGGCTGAAAGGAGAATGCTGCCCTGCTTTTTTTTTTTTTTAACTGTAG